TAATTGTTCAAATCTTGCCAAAGTCTCATTGTATGTCAGATCACCAATCATATCCAAGCTTACATTTGTTGTCTTCCATGCTGCTATTTGCTAATTGTGTGTGAGAGAGCTGTATCACTGCCATGTGTGGGTGTGGTTTATATACAGCTAGTCCAATCAGATGACTAATTCAACTGTCATTCATTTTAATTTTATGTATTTATTATCTTTGTTGAGTTTTAGTTAGTTTTCTACAAGAGAATGAATTGATGCTAAATGATTGTACCAAACTATGTTATAGATAGTGCTTTTTGTACAGTGATGGTATATGCTCGTATAATTGTTCTTGGTACATTTTGTTTTCATTCTGTTTTTATGAATAATTAAGATATTCACATCAAATGTGATTTTTTTCACTCAGGGTAGAAAGAATAAGATCTGAGTTATCCCCCTTGAACACTGATCTTTTTTATTAAAATTAAGCAATGTTTTTTCTAATAAATTTCACAATGGAGAGTTTATTAATATTCACCTACACCAATAGCCACTCGCATGTCAGGTACAAGGGAAATTTGTTGTGACACAATGATTTTTTATTTGTTGAATCATTCAAATTGTTGTTATGCTAGTTTTTATATATACACTTAATATGAATATTGAAATATTTGTATTATAAATTTGGTGAAAAAAATGATATTAAAAATATGAAGAAATATGGAACAATGGTTTTGTTGTTTGTTTTTGTTTTTAATCTTTAAAAATATACACAACATTCTTGTGAAAATTCCCATGCAGTAATTGGCAAGTTACAAACTGCTCTTAAAAAATTAATTAATGGCTGTATGAAGATAGAATAATAAATTGAAGGCATTTTCAATACTACACCTGTCACATGTAGTTTCTAGATAAATATAAGGAACTAAAATACTTAGCATATATGATGAAATGGGATTTCTTTTTTGTGAATACACTAGATTATCACATGACCATAAATTTGGAAAATCAACCAGGACAATTTTGGGTGATATTAATTTTTAGCATTAAGGTTCATTTTATACACTATATAAATCTTGATAAATATAATCTGACAAATATATGCATGTAAAAAATCAATTGATTTCTAAAAATATTTTTTTTATTTACCTGTGATAATTTTAAAAAATGCAGCGAAATTAATTTTAGATAAGTTCCAAATAAATAAAATTGTGTTACTTATTAATCTGCATTGAATGCAAAAGATCGATTGAATTACAAGATATAATTCTTAAAATATTTCACTTTTTATAATTATATCTTATCGATAAAAGGAATATAAAAAATGAGTTATTGTTGAACTCATTGTTCACTGAAGATCACATTCTTTTTAATTTCACGTAAATATTCAACTAACTACTCGCGAAAAGAGTTTATAAAACATATATATTTTATTCACAGATAGCATTGCTATATTGTAAATTGTGTACTACTGTTTCACACTGAATTCAAAATTAACGATATATCAGTATAACCAATGTTTTTTGGAAAATTTTTAACTTCTTTCAAGCTTGGAAAAGCACGGCAAGTTAGTCTAAGCGAGATAACTCTAAAATTTTGAAAACCTGTACACGAAAATAAGGAGTTGTCTCTCTTGTTAAACTTAGAAAAATAGCTTTTTCTGACTAAATAGAACCCTTTCACGGCCTAAAGAGGTTTCATGCATGCAGATAATTTTGTATTCTATAAAATAAAACTTTCCGACAAATTCGAAATTATATGTAACAAAACAACCAGCTCAAAAGGCATTTGCATCTTTTTCCTGACTGTACTGTAAGCGCATGACTAATGTACAGTTTGTCCGTTCGTCTTTGTGTTCACCTGGAATTTTGGAATTTAGTGTTGTGGCACTCTTTGACCAGTTTTTAAACTTCTATTTCGTTTTACACAAACGAATTACATTCATGCTGTGTGAATATAAAGGCAGACTGTCCATTGACAGTTTCATAAGTTGAACAGTCAGGTTGATTTTAACATCTCTTTTCACAGTACATGTATATATTAGTATTCAGTACCTCTGCATTTTGCCAAGACCTGCAGTTTTTGATGTTGATGTCTATGAAAAGAAAATTAAAGACCCCCAACCTCGAGCTCCTTTCCAGAGAAACACATGGACAACTCTGCAATAGTCAGAAGATCAATGAATCTATGGAAAATTGGCTTAGAAAAATGCCCACTACTCATTTTTTAAATACTTTAACCATAATTATATATTCATGTATTCATATTACGGCAATGTAACAAAATGTTTTATAGCGAGAAGGCTTTCTGAGTTCCAGAACTATTGTCTTAATCAAATGTTTCACAATAAAATATGTTCAATTTACACACAAAAGAATTTTCTGCTTGGGGCAGGTTCTTTACATTTGTAGAAAAAAAAAATCCCTTTTTTGTGCATGTTCATGTTATCAAACTCGTCTTATACATGAAAATGAAATATATCTAAGGTATCGTGTTAAATGTAATGGCTACATTCTGACTGGAAGCTATTATACGATTTCAAGGAAGGGGAAGGATGGAATTTACTTCGTTAAAGGGGAACAACTCTTTAGCAAAGTTTAAAAAATAAAAATACCAGAGTTGTCTCTCTTTCATCAGTATCGATGCAAAATTCGAACACGCGATTACTTTTAAGAAATACGTGAATTTCCATTTGCTTGAAGAAATAACTACTTTAGGACAGAGATATGAAATGCATATATATCAAACGGATCGTAATAACTGTAATAACTATTGGTAGATATTTTAAACTGTATCAGGGAAAGAAAATATATTTTTCTTTGAAAGGCGAGACAACTCTTTTAGCCAAAAAAAAATTAAAATATTAATTTGAGTTGTCTCTCTTTCATCAGTAGAATGCAAATTTTGGTTATGGTACTTGTTTGTTATGTTGATAAGAAATAACTGCATTTAATTAAGAAAATACACGATATATGTGATGAAACAATTTAACATTCATAGGTTCATTAAAAAAAGTTGTGATTACACTTACGTTTCTGCCCCCCTCTCTCTCTCGCGCGCGCGTAGGTCCTACTCCAAATATTAATAAAATAAAATAAAGAGAGAGAGAGAGAGAGAGAGAGAGAGAGAGAGAGAGAGAAAATGGAACAAAAATAACACAATGTCCTTTTACAGTTTCCATTGTTTAGTTTGCAAATTAATTATATGCTGTGGGGAAAAAATCACAAATGTCGTAAGGAAAATTCACAAATGGTGTTGCATAGAGCAAATGTTCTTATGTATTTTCTTTATTTAAAAATACTTTTACAAATCACAGTATGTTTTATTTTATATACGGAAGTGTTTTTTTTTTTCTTTATAAAATTGCATGTTCATCGAAATAAAAGAAAAAAAATTAAATACATATACAATTATTTTACAGATATCGGGTAGCTGAATGTTTGTCTAGAGAAAATATTCCCTCCTTCCCTCTTAATTCCTGGATTTTGTTTGTTGGGTTCAAAATAATTAATTTACAAAAACGAATTTTTATTTTAAAAAAGCAGAAAATAATATTCGTTATCAATGTGAATATATTTTTTAAAGGCTGAAGGGGTCATACAATATTTTATAAAGGACATATGAACTAATAGAAATGTATGGGAGCATCTCTCATTTTCTCTTCACAAAGGGTTAAAAACTTATAGTAGCCTTCTTTTAAACTATCATGTGTTGTGGATTTCCAAAGACAGAGCAGGCATTAAAAATCGTGAAGAAATGTGGATCAAATCCCTTACAATTAATATTTCAGAATATTATTTATTTTGTGGTAATTCCAAATGGTGACAAAATGGACATAAAACCCAATCTTAACAGTGTTAAAAAAAAAAGGCAAATATACATTATCATGATGTAAATTTTGCAATTATCTCCCCAAATAAATTCAAAATATACATGATATATATATCATTATCAAATTATTGATTGAACAAAAAAAAATGCAAGTACAATGTATCGGATTTTAGCTTTACTAGTCCATCTACGATCTTTGTGTTGTTGCATTCAGAATAATGTCTTGATCCTTTTTTACACAATGAAGTCGAGAACAGGAAAAAATCACTTCATAGCTCTTAATTAAACTTTAATTTTTTACTTTTCAAAAGTATTGTTTTAAAATGATTGTATAAAGCACCAGAAATTACATGTTTCTTATAAAAAAAGAAAAAAATAATTATCCCACACCTAATAATACATGTTTATTATCAGGTACGATTTTTGTTCTTATAAGAAAAATGTTATGTCAAGTACCTGTGTGTAGACATATAACTGAATTTTTTTTACTCACATTCTTATCAAAAGAACAATTTCAAAATAAAATGTTTCCATTTCTAACTTTTTTTCTCTGTGATAACTCTTTGAAAGTTGTCGGAGTTGATTTTTTGATAATTCTGCTGGAATGTAAACTAGGCAGGTCAATAGGTCAGGAGCTATAAAGAGGCCTGATATGCTTGCGACAAATCTCGTGCGCATATGTCTCTGTGTCTGACGCTAAGGAGGACAAATATGCATGTAAATCTCATGCGACTGCCTTTGTGTTTGACGTCAGTGGGTGAGGACTATTGAAATTGGCATGGAAGTCCTTGTGTAATTTAAATCTATGTCTACATTTTTAAAGTCTAAATCTACAATTTTATTGTATGCTTCGCCCGTTATGCAAATTATCCCATGTTTCCCACTATTGTTGATACCCTGGCATACTATGCTAACTAGACAGTGATTGATTCCTTAAACGATTCCAACAGACATTCTTGTCATAGTCTTCATAATTCTATCTGTCATAAGTTCTTTGTAAATTGGATATGGTTTATGGAATCATAAAGCAGACACTCATTTTGGTGGAAAGGGGAGGGGGGACAAAATAAACAATTCATAAAAGTTTCAAACATGTCTAACACTGCCCTAACAAAAAAAAGTTAAAAATACAAGTTTTTTGACATTTTATTATTTCAAAGTAAAAAACAATAACAAAAATAACATTTTCTTGTATGTACAGCAAAATAAATAAATTATAACAACCTGAGATTAGAGTAGAAGTCTGATAATGACAATGGATGCATAGGAATTAATCAAATCAACTATATGGAAAAAATGTTTATAAGAAGTTTTGGATTATTCTTTTGTTTGGTATAAAATAAAGATTTGATTCAAAACATTTCCTCTGTTTTGTTGCATGGGATGAGAAAATGAAGCTGATGAAATGAGATCACAAGAGAGCAATATTATGTCCTATAGTTTGTCCTCGCTGTAGCCTGACAAAGGAGGTAACTTTGGTCTAAAAACAGAAAAACAAAATTTATATAAATATTAAAAGTTAGATATTTCTTTTTATTCTTTTTAAATCAAAAATATATCACTTTCAATGAAAAATACTAAAGTATGTCATAAAGTATTTACCCAAGCACCTGCTGAATTCTCTCCCTTGACTCGTCAGGTCCTGCAGTCTGAATCAGCTGTATTCTTTTCTAGTCTGCTGTAGTTCAGGTCTATTTTCAATAATGCACCAAAAACAAAATCCATTATCTCTGTTGGAATGTGGAGTCTTTCACATTTAAATCTGAAAGCACATTAACCAATGCAGTTAGTTTTAATACCAGATTTCTAAGCTGTAGTATTAAAATAGTTTTGAACAATAAGATTTAATAGCAGGGAACCTTCAATAAAGCATTTATAACACAAATCCTGCACTGATTACCCTATGTGGACAGCTTATTTTAATAGATATTATCTAAACTCCTATTGCTACAAATGCACATTTTCTAATATTGCATTTATGATTTAAAAAAGATTACTGACAGGTTATATATAATTTTAACCAATACACTGTATCCCTAGAAGCCAAGAAATAATATATCTGTCTACAGTTTAGAGACAAAAATGTTTTTTAAAGCTTGTAAGCAATTTGCAAAGTCAAAAATCAACAAAATCTGCATCAATTCACCAATACTGGTTTTCTATAGAATTACCAAAAAATGCTCCTCTACACTGTCATTAAATGAAGTCCCTCCCCCCTCCCTCAACTTTAACAGACTACAACTGACCTGTTAACGCCTCCCTGTGATGACTAGATCTGAACACTGGCCCTGTGGACATCCTCCATACTCCCGCCCCTTCCACTGTCTGACACAGTTACCTCCCCTGAACCATCACTGATTGAGTCCTCAACACCGGGTTTCTGCTGGGACAGATAGTGTCTGTTCTGAAACAAATAAAAGTATAGTTAGATTGCATCAATGGATTCCAAGTATTTTTCTTTTATTTATTTCCTATATTTTTTTTTTCTAATTCTACCTACAGATGAATAAGAAGAACAAAGGAAATTTAAAATAAAAACTTTTCAACTAAAAAGAACGATTAAAAGGAATTAAAGGCAAATTCTTCTTTTCCTCAATTTAAGGTCTTCAAAAATTATTTTACTCCTAAAGACTTTTTTAGGAAAAGCAACGTAATCTGTGAAAAGCCAAAAACCAAGAATAAAAAAAACATGATCAGATACTAATCAAATAAGAACAAATTCCCAAACTATTCTGTTGTATGAACATCATGTAAAGAACACCTCAATTTGTCCAAACTCACAAGGATTAACTTTGTTCTTTTGTGACACATAGCACTTAATCAAAACCCAGAATACAAGCCTAGATACCCCAAACACTTTGAAGTCCTGCTGGTAAAATTAGCCATTTTCTGCAAACCTGACAAAGGTTGCTGGGTGTGCAGTTTGGACCTGCAATGTGGCATTTGACCGATTCTGTCCCTCCCCAAGGTGTGATGACAAAAGTCACCTGTTGGTTTGGGAACAGCCAATACTTGGGAACATTCTGTCAGATGACCTTTTTATGTGACACAATCCGCTTCCCTTTCTTTCCATCAGACAGAAATTCACAGCTTTCTGTCCAGATCTTTTTACAATGTTCTAATCATGCCAATTTTTTTTTAATCAGTCCATCTGTATTTTTTTGTTAAATCCAATTTACCCTCTAAATTGCCTCCTACCAAGGACAAAGCAGTTTGAATGAAAATCCATTGCTGTCCAATGTACCCTTTAATACATTACAAAATCAACATCATCTAATACTAATCAAAATAACTGAGATAAAATGCCGGGGTATTCCCTATTTACTTTCCCTATGCATTGCGTAACATTATTTCCGCATGAACTGACCACAAATACCCCCACACCTCGACCCTGGATCGCTGCCATCTTCAGAGTCACCGAGGTGTCTCCATACTTGTTTTATCTTGGATCTAGGGGGGAGATTATGCCTGAATGTCCACTTATAGAGGATCAGCCTCACTGATTCTACAGGACAGTCAATACTTGTTTAGTATCTGTTATATGGTGCTTCAGTTGACATTGCCATTCAAAACTTTCCAGTAATATTTAACAATTGACACTAAATTGACACCACCAATATTTACAGTGGATTCATATTTTGCAAACATGTGGCAGGTATTGGGTATCAAATTTCTTGCATATTAAACCAAACTCTATCATACATTTAAATTATTCTGTCAAGAAACACATTGTACATGTAATTTACATGTAGGTAATAGAGAAACCAAATTATTCATATTTTGAAATGAAAAAAATATTTAGTCAGGAAATACATGTTGATATCTTCAATATTCCTTTTTTAAAATCCCTTGAAAATGGACGGAACCTTTGCTTACCTCGTCAGGGTGGTACATGAGTGGTTTATTGTAGTTTTTGATGAGTTTGTGGTGGAAGTTGATGGAAGCCATTCTGTTTAACTCCTCCTGGTGAAGATCTGATGGCTTCTTCTCTCTCCTCGGGCGAGGTGGGGGCGTGTCTTCTGGCTACAAAAAAATAACAGGAGCAATTTATTTTACATGTTCTCAGACAATTCATATTTCCTATTCCTGAATACTCTACTGAAAAATAATGAAAGTTGAAGATTTTTGACTAAATCAAATAAAGAAACTTTTTTTTTTATCTTCCACTAATAAATGCCTTGTAGATTAACATAACTGAGGTTGTTAATCTCTGTAATTTGCCTTTTATGTCTATTAAATTCATTAATTTAAAACAGATTAAATCATTAAGTAAATGAATTTTCATTGATTTTCTGTCGATAACTGGAATCAGGGCTGGTGATTATTCAGAGAGCGGTTAATAGCGGGGTAGGACACAGGTGTGCATGTTTACATGGCAACCAATGCACCACTCAGCTATGGGCTTTCTTTGTGATGATTAAAATTTGGACATAATCATTCACAAAAGATGTTCAATATTAAAGCCTAAATCAATATTAGCTGGCCCAAATTTTAGTTGACCACCATTAGTCTCTAAGAGAAGAATGATATCAGTTTTTGGTACAAGGGACCTATCTGTAAACAACAAACTAGACATGATATCCTCCGATACATGGTCTCTAATCCTATTCTCAAACAACCACACTCAAGTTTAAACAAATTGTCTTTCTATACATCTTTCAAAATGAAGAAAAAACCTGGTAATGAACCAGTTAAGCAGTTAATCACAATGTAATTTGAATTTTGTAGAAGCAAAGGGCCAAGACAGGGGTAGAAATTTATACACCTTTATCTTTTAAGGAAGAATAGAGCATTATCAGGATCAAACAAAAGTTTTAACAGATTACCTAAATACATCACAAGTCCAAGTCTTTTAGCTAATATTCGTTATTGAGGGGTAGGAGAGTGACAATATAATTATAGAAACCTGATCATGCCCGGCACGTTAAAGGGGCTACATTTCATTTTAATCAGTTTTACGTATCAACACGGAGATTTCAGAACCTAGTATCAATGATGATCTTGACAAAATCAAACACTGACTTTCCGCTATCTGAGTGTTGTGTAAGGATATGCTTTATATAGTGTTTTTATCAAGGTATTTTGAACATTTTTAGTGAAGAAATATCTTGTAATATATTTTAGGTATACCTGGCATTTCACACACATCTAGTCCTAATGCACTGACTATTAATGTACTAAACTATTTTTTTCAATTGAAACTGTGTGAAATTTTCAATTTTTAATAAACTTTTCTATCTTTAAATTACTAATGAACAAAATATGTATCAGAAATTTAAAATTAAATTTAGTTGAAAATTTATCATTTTTACAGGTAAATTACCAAATTCATAATCTCCTTTCAAAAGGAAGTTATAGCAGTCAGTTACCCATTAGTTAGTGTGTTTCATTCTGACTTGTTGTGGGACAAGTGTTTTGTCACAAGGAAGGAGGATGTTACATGCTATTGTTTGGTTACTGCCCAGAAGGTGTGGTTACAAATGGCTCCCAAAACAACATTACAACATCACAGCTAATTAACATTGTACACTCGGAGATAATTACTTGTTCAACATACATTTTGTTTGTTCTTTAAATTATTCATGTTAAAAGGGAAGAGAAAAATCAATGCAATTTAAAAATTTTACTTCTAACTTTTGTGGCTTTATGATTATTTCTTAATTTTTACAAAAATCTTTAAATAATGCACTGCCCAAATATGTAATAACATACGGATCAATTTCTCTGATTAGTAGATCTAATATTAATGGTGTTTTACAGTAAAACAGATATATACCTTCATGGATTCTTGAAAACATAAAGGTAATTAATTTTTTATCCCCAAAGATTAGATGAACAATTCTTTGACTCTATAAATCAACTTACCTGACTGTTGTATGGAGAATGATGCTGATTTGCATAGATGTGTTGATTGGTGGTTACAAAGTTATTAGGACCAACATCTCGACCAATCATAAAAATTCCTGAATCCTGTTGATCATCGGATGAGAAACTCACTTTCTTCACTTCCTGAGATGTGAGATTATTATTGTCTGTGAGATAAGTCTTGTGAGAATTTTCTCGAGTCAGGCAAGATTTTTTAGAGTTATATTGCACAGAGTCTGGAAGCTGAAATTCATGTTGATTACTTGACTCAACATTTGTAAATCTTTTACGCTTATTATTGTCCATCCTCCTAATTAGAAAAATGGTCACTATAATGGCTAATGACAGCACAATTGTCACACAGGCAATGGTAATAGCTATTAGCACATTCTGTCCAATTTTCTGTTCTGCCACTGTTGGAATAGCGTGATATTCCACAAATAGTCTCACCTCTACTCCCGTTTTCAGCGGCACTTTACCCTGGTCTGATACATCAATAAACAGAGAAAACTCTTTGATATCAAAACTCTCTATCTTCCTGGATAAATAGATTTGTCCAGATTTTGAATCAATGTAGAACAGGTTGTCGTCGTCTCTTTTCACAATACTGTACTTCAGAGATCCATTTTCCCCCTCATCTTTGTCATACGCTTCCACTCGAGTGACAACAGAGTTGGGGATGGTGGTATGGGGTACCTTAACAGACTCGTTTCCTCGGGTGGGAAACTTAATCTGAGGGTATTCATCATTCTCGTCCAGGATGGTAACAGTCACAGTACAAGAGGTGTTTTTAGGAGAGACACCTCTATCAGTAGCCATCACAGACAGTACGTACCTTGAGGTGACTTCACGGTCCAGTCTTCTGTTAGTTTTTATCTCTCCTGTGGACGGATTGATAGAGAATGGAGTGTTCTGGTAGGTGAAAGGAATGGTGTACACAATGGCTGCATTAGAACCAATATCTTCATCTGTGGCAGCCACAGTGCCCAGAACAAAGTCAGCATCCCTATTTTCCATCACTTGAAATTCATAACTACTTTGGTTAAATGTAGGATACTCATCATTATCATCTTCAATGTTCAGTTTGACAGTCGCTGTAGCTGTCAGTGGTACAGGGGATCCATTATCAGCAGCATACACTTTAAACAATATGCTACTCTCAACCTCTCTGTCAAAACGCACCTTGGCTCTGATGATTCCAGTACTAGAATCTACATCAAATTTTGTACGAAAGTTTTGCTCAATGGAGTAGCGCACCTCAGCATTGCTTCCTTGATCACTGTCTGAGGCGGTGACCTTGGTGATCATCTGACCTGGGTCTTTGTTTTCTGTTATGGTAGCATTGTACAGTTCCCTGTCAAACTTCGGTTCATTATCATTCCTGTCTAGAACTTGTACAATAAAGCTCTCTGACTTGTTCTGTTTAGGTACACCTTCATCCTCACAGTAGACTTTCACAATGTACTCAATGTTTTCCTCTCGGTCCAGTTCATTTGACACTATGACTTTATACTCTGTGTTGGAGAGGTTGTGAAGTTGGAATTTAGGATGGTCTATTGTACATTTCACCTGGCCATTCTTACCAGTGTCTTTGTCGACAACAGCCACGTAGGCAATAACTGTTCCTCTGTTGGAACTTTCACTGACTTTGCCCCCAGATAACAGGTTGATGTTGATTTCTGGAGCATGGTTGTTGACATCCACAACATGAATGTTGATAAAAGCCTGGCTGCTAAGAGGTGGGGATCCATGGTCCAATGCTGACACTACAATCCTGTGAGGTTCTCCAGAGGTGAAGGTCAACTGTTGAATGACCTTGACCTCTCCTGTACTGTTATTTATTGAAAATAACTTCTGACTTTCACCATTTGGATTCGACGAAAAACGATACTCAACAATACCATTTGGTCCCGAATCATCATCAGATGCAGACACTTTAATGATGTTAGTACCTACTGCAATATCCTCCTGTATTGTCACATTGTACTGTGAATAGCTAAATCGTGGCTTGTTGTCATTTATATCTGCCACTGCAATGTTAATTGTCATGGTGCTGGACCTTTGTGGAAGGCCGCCATCTTTGGCCACTAGGTAAATACGATAAGATCTCAACTTTTCTCTGTCTAGTTTCTTATTAAGCACCAAATTTACTTCCAAACTCTCATCAATTTTGCGGCTAAGTAACAATCCAAATGCGCTACTGGGTGGTTCCAGAACATAGGTTTTCAAAGAATTATTTTCCCCCATGTCTCTGTCTAATGCAGTAGGAAGTGGAAATGTGGCATTAATGGCAGTGTCCTCTGGTATTGAGAGGGAGGTAGAGTTCATTGGAAATAATGGTGAATTGTCATTTCTGTCTATGATGGAGACATTTACATTGATAGTTCTGAAAAAAGTTCCACTATTAGCACCAATCCTTAGAGATAGAACACATACTTTCATGAAAGGACATATGGTCTCCCTGTCAAGTTTTGATTTGGTTTTTAGTTCCCCTGTATTTTCATCGATTTGAAAATAATCACTGTTGGCTGAGTTGCTGCCCACACTAAGAAAGCTGTATTTGACATTGGCAAGAATGATTGGGTCAGTTGTGGAAGTGAGGTTGCTGTCATCTGCAACATTGCCAAGGAATACAGGAGGTAAAACTTCTTCTGTTGTGATGTAAGCAACACTCTGGCAATAGCAACACGAGATCCAGAAAAACACAAGAACTAAACTGGGCAAGATGGAGGCCATGATTGATTTCTTTTGTTCAAATTGCTAAATTAATGGTGTTGATCAATTATTAACAAAGTCTCACATTCAGTCATGTCATGTTGCCTTTCTGCTGACTTCACCAAATGACAGACCATCAAAACACTGACATTTATAAGCCTTTCAGTTTTCCTCTGGGACTAATGTTGCATCACAAAATAAACACAAATGGAAAATCTCTTCTATAAATTCTCCATGATTCAGTGTGGCTAATTTTCGGTAATCCAATTGTTATGTTGGTGAATTAAAGGCAAAATGGATTGTTTCCACTCCTCTGCTCCAAGAATTTTGAATCTACAAAATAAGAAAAGCAATTGAAGGAAAATATTGACATTTCTGGTTGGACTTGTGACATAAGGTTGGATAGCATGAAGACGGTAATCACAGGCTGATTGCAGAACACCTGAGGAAAAATTCCCTATCTAACATCATCTGTCTACTTCACTCAAGCAGTATTTCAATATTTTGATGAAAAAATCTTTTAAGTTCCCAACTGTTTTTCCCCTTATGCATTCTTGCATGTGTGGAAATTGAATTAGATTACGATATATCTGATTATAAAATCAAAGTGGGCATGATTTACTTAGACTTCTTCAATACTAAGTGACTTTATAGATTTCTTCACTGATAAATAAACATCCTGAGTCATTATTGAAACATCCTTTTGTCAGAAAGGTATTACAGTTAAAAGTCCCAATGCCTTTATTTTTGTTTTTCTACATTATTGTGAAAATTAATCTTTACAAAATCTCTTCAGGGAGGACAAGTATAAACTTAAAAGAAAAGAAGTTGTGTTAGTAATGGTTGAAAGTAAAGGCTATTTTGCATATAAGGTAATAAAATAAAATTCAATAAAAATTTCAAAGCTTTTTCTCCTTTGAACCATATGTTGAAAAAAAAAGTGGTGAATTTGTGTATTAATATTATTTGGATGACACTATATATGGAATATTCAAATGCAAATAACATTTCTGGCATTCAAATGTGACAATCAACAATAATTATATAATGGAAAATATATATCATTCTTATAAAAAAAAAGTGTCAAAGTCCAAAAATATATAAGCATGTACATATTTTCTTTGTAAATGGTATTTCTTTCAATAATCCAAAAATTAGAAATTATTTAAATATTTGCACTATAGCTGGTATCAAATTTTATAGAGCTATTTTCTTAAAATGCTTTTCATATCTTATATATGAGAAATAAAATTATTTAATCATACAAATAATTATTAAAACCTTTTAAAATTTCCAGTATTAACTTTGAATTGCTCTATTTCTTTTTTATTTCGATATATTAATTAATTTTAATATGGTTTAGAATTTGATAAAATCATGATTTTCATACATGACTTCAATAAAAAAAATATATGGAGATTTAATTAACCTAAGTGCAATTAAAAAAGGACCACTAAATGAAAATTAAAATATCAAGAACTTCCTATGAATTTAAAGAGAATATTTGATTAAAAACTGGATGCATACCTCTTCCACTTTGACAAAGATAAACAAAAATATCCCCTCCACTTCAGAAAACAAAAAACAAATAAATCCTAAGTGTTCATCATGAAGACAGACTCTGAGTTGATACAGGTAAGGCCTGGGTATAGTGATACAGGTATAAGGCCTGTGTATAATGGTACCTGTCTATACTACTGATCTCCCAACACACACCTAGTCACACTTTAACCTGATCAACAATACCGCCTATCCACCAATCAAATCGCTCCGTTCCACCGCCCCTCAGCTATCCTCTTATCTTATCATGTCAATGTACCCCTTTGCTAATTTTTAAGAATTCTGAGTGAAGGTTTCTATGTTTTTTGTTGTTTTTGATGTCTTGATAGCTGACTGGTTTGTTGTTTTTTCACTATGAAGGTGACACTGACATTTTTGGGTAGATAATTACATATGTTTCTAAAAACTTCATCCTCTCTCTGTCAACACAGTGGCATTTTACAAGGACATGTAAATTTGGCATTGGATTAAAATAAATAAAACAGAATTTACACTTCATTTAATGTCTTTATAATTATGTAAAGGAAGCAATGGAATTCAATCATCATGTTTTATCAACATTTTCTGTAATACAGAATGACAAGTTTACGACTTTTCAATTTTAAATTGAATTTCTTTCATTGATGAAAATTTAAGATAAATTGAACCAAAAATATTTATAATAATACCTTTATTTAAACATGCAACAATTTTCAACATTCAAACAAAAATTTTGAATGAAAATTTTGACATATCTGTTAAAATTTTAATTACAGTTATTAGAAGAAACTATGGTTAAAATGTCTTTAGGATATGATTTTTAATCAATGAAATTGTACAGCAATAAAATATTGATTATTACATGCTGTAGTAGCTTTTAAAAGCACATGAAAACAGATGATAATGTTTGTTTCTGATAATCAGTGGCTTCCTTGTACCACTGTCCATAAATCATAAAATTACAATTAATTTAATGTTAACATCATATTCTACATCTACAAAGATGGATTATTTAACATGCTGATAAAAGATACTTCAAAGTTGTTTAAAGGCATTTTTTTTTTAAATCTAGAACACGATTGGTTGTGCATTTTATGGTGTTTTTTTTTTTTTAATTATAATAAGGAAAAAATAACACCAAACAAAAATATATGGAAACATTTTAACAAATTAACATCTCAAAACTTGTAAAAGATGTTGGTACCAACCTCTCCAATAGTAAGCTTCCTCATGGAGGAAAAATTTGATTAAAAATAAAAAAATAACATAAAATTCTACAATTGAAAATATGTATCTAACCTTTTTAATCGTATGAATTTTAATTATTTAAGGAAGTTTATAGTCATACCTTATTTATCTGTGTTTGAAGACTAGATTTTATCTGTTCCAACATCCGCTCTCCCAAAATTTGATCAAATATTGATCATTTCTTTTTCATACAGTAAAGTTTTCTTTAACAATGTTTAGCAAGGGTCAACTAGTATCCTTACGCTTTCTTAGATAATGACACTTTTTTCTCTGTCCCCTGTTTATTTTGGATTGTTAATTAAACATTGCACATGTTTATATCTAAAAAATGTGACAATGGACTCTGTAGTTGGAGTGTGTGTCCAACTCAAGATGTTTATTCAGTGATTTACTTAAATACAAGTCTTTAATGCCATTTAACAGCCCACTCATACACAACATGCTGTTCCTCTCGCTTTCATTGTCCTGACAATTAGCTCACACTGTGCTGTGTTGTTTTACCAATTATTATTTGGGATAATTACACACCTGTTCAGGTGATAGGTTTACTTAGGACCAATCTGTTTCAATGTATGAAAGTCTTTGATGTCTTTTTTGGTCAAACAATTATCCTTATGGTCTTAAAGTCTTATGGTGCTTAACTGTTAATTAGTAAAACACTACATCAGTTATACTAAGTTAATTGATATTAACACAGTTACACAAATAAACAAAAAATCTCAGCAAATTTTTAATGTGTCCTTAAAGTGTAACACTTTGGAAAAATGTATGATACATGATATATGTATTTCCCCCTAAACCTTGATCTGTTGACTTCAAATATTATCTGAATATTAATGAAGTAAATTGTTAGCAACATCTGCAACCATGCACATAAAAAATTCTGTATATTTGTACATATAAAGTCTATACTTTGTATATTAAACCTGTTCGCTTTTTGTATTTTTTGAATATAAACAAATAACATACTGTATGTAAGTTGGAATGAAAAAAATATGGCTTTTGAGGTCATTTTGGTGAAAAATGTTCACTGAAGATTTTTTAAAATGAAATATTTATAAAGAATTAACATTTTGAATGAAAGGTAATGTGAAAAAGCTTTCACCTACAGAGTTGATATATTTCTTCTGTCAATAAACACGACTGTCTATAGTGAGGGTGAATTATCGGAGCTGTATGGTGCCTGTGACTAATTAACTCTACATTAACGTGGTGGGGCACGGCACTGACCATCTTAACGGTGCCTAGGTAAACTTAATCGCCCCCGTGCCAGGTAAGTTCCGCAGTCGTTGATACCCTGACCATTATCATAGCCATGTCAATACCTCAAAGATACAGCTCATAGATACTATTATAATACAAATCTACCCCAAACCTGGCACAAGGATTAGTGCCGTACTCGAGGATTACTCGACCTCTTTCAAATGAAATGTCATTAAATGATAAAATCTCGATTTTCTGTGGTGAGAGGGCTGATGAAGAAGTATCAAAACCTTCAGTGAGAACGTGTAAAGGATTATAGCCAGGTTTTAAAATTTTAATTTTTCAATGAAGGGGTTTTAAAATACAATTTAACACCTATCATTAGATTATTAAAGAACTAAAAACCTTGAATTTGATGAAAAATTAGAAATAGCAATATGCTTTCAAGAAATTTAAATCCAAAATCTTGCATTAATATCCCATCACGTACCAGAGAATTGAATATCAATGCCGATGCTTTGAATATCAAGTAATAACCTGGGTGAAGCCCGGTCTATCTGCTATGACAGTCATTTATTATATTCTAAATATCAGTTCCACCTAATTCCTGTGATATGTGTAAATACATCCTATTACTAGCTTTACCTAAAGTCAATAAGAAAGTCCCGACAGAGAGAATAATTCCTGAATCTCAGCCCGGCAATCTCCAGAACAGTCCAAATGTCCAGTATCACAAACACCAGCGATCAATTTCAGTTTATCTCATTACCTGATATCGTATCCACCATTTGGGCTTTTAAGAAGAAAAACACCTTTTCAGAGCTAGTATCCTAATCTGTTTGTCCACATATTATAAATGCACTCTCAGATCTGGGAGCCTGTCAGTAAGTGTAAGCATTGCGATGATTTGGTCTGTTTTGGGGGATTATGAAGCAGAGATTACAGTATTTGCAGAAGTTTTCTGATCAAGGGAGCAATCATAATCTTACTTTTGAAAGCACGGGGTTTAATCCATGTTTGTAATCCACCGACAAGAGGGTTAAAACAAAATGTTCAAATTGTGGTCTGTTTTAATCCAGTTCTGAGTTGAATGGCACAGGTTTCCTCATTGGGCTTACCTCAAATTCAGTACAAGTATTGTCATCAATTTAAAAAAATATAAAATGACAGATTGAAGGGGGTTGAGTCATTGATCTACCATAAGTATCTTAATTTGAAGGAGAATTACAGATGATTGAATGGTCAAAAATGAATTATGAACCCGAAAATATGAATTTACTTAGGGAAAAAACATAATGCACAACGAATTCCTGTCTGCTTACTTAGATCTATGAGAGACTTTCAAGATCTCTGGAGCAATGAAAATTGATATGAAGCTTGTTTGAAGTAATGATATGTGTATTTAAATATTTAACTCTTTAAAAAAGTAAAATTACTTTCTCTAATATATCAATTATAATGAAATTTGCACACTTAAAATCACGACACATTACGATGACTGCCATGATAACACAGTGATTAAATTGTCAGCCATTTCCAAAAAAAGACATAATTTCATTTCTGATAAAGATCTGCAAATTTTAAATCAAGTGAAAAAAAAACATTAAATTCCATTGCAAAGATAATCATCAAACTTATGGTTCCAGTCGTTGGGGAAGCTAACATGCAAGTTTAAATCCACTGCACGAGGGGCCATGTCATCTATATATGGCAAAATGTAACAGATTGGCACCATAGAAATATCACGAAGATCTCCATGGTCTATATTTTCATGGTCTCAGCTTTTTGAATTCTTTGATTTTTCATTTCTTGACAGTTGGAATGTGGATGGAAAAGTGTCAAATGGAAAAGTGTTTTTCGATAACAATTTCAATTACATTGATATAATTGACTGACTTATAAATCCAGGGCCAATAAAATGGATTGCATGAGCAAGGGCCATTAAAACCATTTCTATTGACATGACTACTTTTACCTTTATTTATTGATGTCCATGCAAGTCAAGCAAATTAAGATCGAAATTACTAAGAAAAATCGCATACAAGCAAGAAACTGAATTGAAGATTGTTGCAAGTCGATGCTTGGCAGGCTGTGTTAGTCCATAGACTAAACATTTGTTATTTTATTGCATTTCCTGTCAGAAGTAAAGAGAAAAACTTCCATTTACAACATTTACCCTGTCAAGACCAACTTTTTGATACATTTCCCTCTCACACCATCAACAATGGGAACTGCAATTTTGCTTAAATTAATTTTTGTTTATTCCTACATGGAATTCAAGTTACCCTCATAAATGTAGGTTTCATGTTTCCCAAAGTCAAGCAAAATAAGTGACAATTTCAAATGGCACATAGAATTTATGTTCCAAGTTATCACACCTTCAGATCTGAAACCAGTAATTGTCTACTTTAAAGAAAAATAAAACCTATATCCTTTGATGCTGGTCAAATCAGAACTAGTAAGCCATGTTTGATTTTCTTCCCAGAGAGAAAAATAAAAAGATGGTCATTTCTCAACTTGACAAAAAAATAGTCGCACAACGCAAATCAATTTTAGACTTTCAGCCAGGTATGAAGGGACATGTCAATTTGATGTATGTTTTGTGGCTCAATCATCTTTGATAAAAGTTTGCTCGGTCAGCTCGAAATATTTCTAATTTCCAGAAAATTATGAGAGGTGTTGAAGCATAGAGGACCGTATGAAAATGTTGAAAGGTCCGAGAAAAATGGGCTTCCTTCATAATGATTTGCTTGGTTAGGCACAATTTTTATCATGCTGGTCCAATATTAAGAGCTTTAAGAAAGCAGTGAGTTGGCTAGAATTTATAAAATAACATGGTATTTTCCCCTAACAAAAAGAGAAAAATTGGGTGAAAAAAGTATACTTCTTTGAAATGAAGACCTTGCATACATCTGTTAAACAGAGCTTAAAATTGATCAAACTATGACGTGTTTATCATATCTTTCTTTGTCTAAACATGACACTTTTCTTTTGATAAGATATTTTAATTTGTAAAGTTACATTTTTCTTAATTTAAAGCTTTCACCCTAAGACACCTTGCGTGTTTAAAATCTAACCTTTCTTTGTTTGAGCCCCTAGAGATGTATCATACACCTTGATGTGCAGGTAAAACACAGTTAAATATTATATCACAACGTTTGTTACAGGCACTGACATCTCTCTCATCCATTTCAAAACAAAATTTGTGCCCATAAATGTCTTGTTAACACATAAAAGAAAATGTAAATGTCTTATCATCATGTTATTGTTTCAAGGAGAAGAAAAAATATTTTTCCAAAAAATTCTAAATGTCACACAAGGGTATTTTTAAACACTTAACAAAAAAGGAGATGTTTTATTAAGATAAATGAAGAGAAAGACACATAAAAGACAGTCAAAATGAAAAGCTTTGAAAAACAGCAAAAAGCCTACTATTTTTTAAACAAAGAGATGAGTTTGGCACAATGAGGAAAAAAAGTCTCGTTGGCCTCTTATTGAAAAGAAATGTTCTGGTTTTGATAGACAATGAACAAATTTACACAGTAACCTAGCTTGCAAACTAAAAATCGTAAAACAAAGTGAATGGAAATTCTACAAGAATACTGCACTTGTTCTGTATTTTTCTAAAACATAGCATAAAACAATGAAAATTACACCACTGATTTCGGTACACACAAACATCTGCGAGATTAGATGGGATTCTGATAGATTTGAGAACAATTCAGGCAAGTGACCTGTTAGATTTAGATAACAGTTTAAACTCGACCAGGGACAAATTAAATGTTCAATATTTCGATTTTGAACTCTGGGATACGGGGGAACCTTGGAGTATTTCAATGTTCTTCTTTCTTTGTTAAAGAGGCCATGTTCTACAAGTGTGTCCATTCCAAGCTTCTGTCCCAGTAGCTCCTCAATGCCTGCAATGTCCCCTTCATTCCAGATACATTTTTTAATCATCAGGCAACTCACTGTGAGCGAGATCTTCAATGGCCGATGTTATCCCAGTAAGACGCAAGGTTAAAAATTGATTATTTACACCTGTCACCTTTTTATCAAAACAAATGATAGCTGGATTTAGATTTAACATGATCTGAGGAAAAAATATGCCACTTAATGAGTTGAATTGTTGGATATTGTCCCATAGTGAAGTGAAAATCTCCACTTAAATATGCCAGACCCCCTTGATCGTGTTAGTCTTTTCAGCGCAATAGCTCAAAGTTTATCACTGAGTACACTTCAGTTACATACACTTGAAAAAAATTTCATTATTTTCAAACTCAGTTGTCTTCAAGACAGGTCATATGTAATGAAATTAAATGGATTTTTTTTTTTTCAAATGTTTGTTAAAATTTTATTGTACTTAGTTCTTGCTCAATGTAAATTGCCTTGTCCAAATCCAAAGTTTTCTTTGATATTTAAAGTCAAGCAATTATTTATTTAGACACAAATTTTCAATTTCATGGAAAAATAAATTTAATGAAAGTGTAAAAAAAATCATTGCATAATGATGGTCAGCACCTAAAGGCTTAATATTAAAACTGAGTCAATTAAACATCCTCTGTTAATGACAGGAGTTATGTCTTACTAAAAATTTGAACAAAATTTATCAGAAAAATTCATCAAAAAGCCAAGCATTTCACTGTAAACATGTATAAAGTGAAAAATTTGGCACTGACAAGCTAATGCCATTAGAATGTAGGCCAGTGAAGGAAGAACGGAGTGGCGGGTGGCTGGGGGATATTTTTCTACACATCAGATAGGTATTCCGAGATATTTATCTACCCCACACTTCACCAAACACTGATTGAACTTGGATAACAGCCTGGGACGGTGGGGCTATAGGTTCTATTTCTCTCTGTCTCTCTGTCAATAGAACCTAATCATGGTCCCCTTACTCCATCATTTTATTACATAAGCTTTTTATCACGGGTAGATAGAAATGTACCCATCCATTAAAATATGCTTTGTGGTTGTAGGTCTTACACAATCTGTGTTTTTAAAAGGTTGTAATGTTATCTGGGTGACACATTAGAGTAAATTGTTACATTAACAGTACATGATGAGTGATAATGTACCAGATTAATATTGACTAACCTCAAGCTGGACAGGTTCATTTTTTCTTTTGCATATTTAAAAAAAAATTCAAATGAAAGTGGTTGTTAAAATTTGCTACATTGATATCATTTACAGCTGGAAATAAGATAAATTTACAAAATGATAACTTATATAGTTAAATATCATAAGAAAATTATTTCACAATATTTAAGAATGCACTCCTTAAAGGCTTGTGCAGGGATTTATTTTTTTAAGTACAAGTACTGGTACTTATATTGCAAATCTCTAAAGATATTAGAACTTTTATATAAAAAAAAATAGAAATAATAAGACTTTTTCTTAAAAATTACTTTTACAAATGTTTAATTAAATGTTTGATTGAAAATTATTAAGATTTAAAGAACAATGAGCATTATATACATTTAGTAGAAAATCCTAAATGAGATTTATTTTTAGGATATTTTCTCTAAGGTTTAATATGAAACTAAAAAATATTTCACCCGATTATGTGAATGGTCAGGAACATTCCGAGTTTTATTTCTTACATTAGCGAGTTGTTAATTATCCATAAATTCTGACCAGAACAAGAAGACGGCCATCAAATGAAACTTAGGTCAATTACCATTTATTAAAAATGTTTGGCCACGGGAGATGATTTTCACAGATAGACGTAAATGGAAAAATGGCATAAAAAGCCCAGGTGACCTCAACCAAAGAAACTTACTCCGGAGTCAAATGACTTCAATCAAAATACCTAGTGACCTAAACAGAGCTTTGACTAATGTTAAAATAACTGTTCATCATTTGAAAGGTTTAGTTCGATATCTATAAGAAAAATCAGCCCATTAAGAAGCAGTAGAAATTCTGGAGATACTGTTAGCTGTAGTATAACTGACATATATAGGCTTACCTTTGGCTCTGATCTTCAGGTGTCAATTTGTGGATTAAATAAAACTCAGATGATCCCCGTCATCAGATATCCTACAAAAACATAAAATTAACTCAGTCACACACGAAAAAAAAAATGTTACAGGAGCATGGCTAATTGAGGAAAAATAGAAAGGTGAAGATAAACAAAGGTCTGCACCTGTATATTACAATACTCACTGATCCAATGATTGACACATAAAACCTACCGAGTCAGCCAATTATATGGGACGATACCGCTGACTCTTAACGCTATATACACTGCCGCCAAACAAGAGAGGGGAAAAAATCTAACCCTGGATTTTTATATTTTCTGTCTCCTAAGCCCACCTTTTTATATCATAAATGTACAGCAAAGTAGACCTCATATTTTTCCTTTTAATTTGGGAAGCAAATTCTTGTGCCTGTGTGTGTGTTCAATGTTTTGTAAATAGAGGCTTTGAATGAAATCATAATAGAACTGACAGGAAATTGGTAGGTTTGTCCGTCTTTTCCGACCGTTCTGTTTGTCTAGCTCTTGTGTCGAACTTCCTTTGGAAACAAAAAATGTTACATTGAATGGGACCATCCACTTTCATCATCTTCTATAATGACTATTGTTTGGTCTACATAATGACAAAACTTACAAAGTAAAATTGTTTAGATTCTTATATAAAGGTCCCATAGAATAAATAAATCATTTTACAAGTATTTAAGAAAACTTTCATCTATGACAGAATTTGAACTGTTCCCTTGATCACAGCATGGTCTGGCTCCATTCTCTAATTTCAAAACTCTTCTATAATTTGAAGGACATCATAAAAATAATTCAAAATAATGATCCATTTTGTGGGGAGGTCAGTTTTGATAAAAAAAATCAAATGAACTTACATGTTCAAACATTGATAGAAAATTAATGGAGTCGTCTGATGACTGGTTGCTGACTAATGAACTTTAAATGACTTTCTTTATTTGCATTGGTTCACCCTAAAATTTTTTCTCCATTTTCACCTGAGTAATGACTTCTATAAATTACTTTCTCACTTATCGAGAACTTATCAAAGATTTTTATCTTGATGTTTGTCAATGAAATATGTACCGTATCTCATGACCATCAATAAAGGAAAAGCAGAGCATTATGGTCCATTAGAATATGTACAATTAGCCTTCCATCTCAATTTGATATTTCATAACTATGTTTATATAAAAAGTAATTACTCCAGCGGCACTTGTTACCTATCAAAGTTGATTAAAAATGTGACACATCTAAAAGAAAAAAATCATCACCTTTCCTGTAAAGTAATATTTATGTGCACAATTTGAATTTTACAGGGTGCTAAACATATTTGATCTTTTTTTCAACACTTCAAATAAGCATTAGTGACCCATACACATCCTTAATATTCCCCAAATCCCATCTGGGGTTCTATTACAAAAAATCATTTGGGCAGAAAAAATATTTAAAACAAATTCCTCAGTAACTTTTAGACCTGTGTCTTCTTATGCCAAATTAATACAGAAGTTGGGTCGGGACTGGGGTACAAGAATTCACGTCTGAGGATGATCGATACCACAGCTGTCAACGACAATTGTCAACAGTCTGCATGATTAGCTTCAGCGTCAGCTCATTTGTCAGCGATTAGCTCTGAACGATTTCCCCGACAAGAACCTCCAATTCATGTCCCCTAATTTGAATAAAAAATCAAAATGTAACATTTTAAATGTTTCAGATTTATAAAAGGAAAGAATCATTGTGGTTTCCGACAATCCAATATTGCCAACTTCCAAAAAAAAAAAACCAAGAAACATCTGCATTCTAAACAGTAAAGGAAACAAGAAAAAAACTTTCTTAGTTCCTTTACTAAACCATATCATTTTACCAGGTAACTCATGCAGTTGCTGACAATATTCATGTTTTCCTAATCAAGGTATTTCATCTACAAGCGAAATTCAACTTTTTAATTAAGCAATGAATTCTGTTTTTATAAAGAGGAATTATCACAACTACAACACTGTGTGCAAACAACTAAATGATTTTTATTTTTGTAATCTGTAATTGCAAAGTCCATATATATATCTGAAATCCATGTGTCACAGTTTAGAGTTTTGGAATCTTTCCTATAAAGCTGACTGCTCTAAAAGGCAAAGGTTTGGGAAGCGTTTGAATCACCATCCTTGTGGTTTATGTTTTAGGGGGACGACTTAGCAAGACTAACACATCAAACCAGCGGGAACTATAGGATCACCCTAATCACCCAGAAAACCAATCTGATTATGTGCTCAAATACTTAAGATCAGACAATGATATGGCAAATCCATTAACAAAACATTAAATAATGTCTTCCAAGTACACAGTCATTGCCAAGTATTGAAACGGCAAATGAAAAGACTTTTTCTCAACTGTATGCAAATAAATCTTTGTCCATTTAGGAGCACTTGCATTAAATTTTTTTCACAATACCATTCAAATCCGCATGATACAGCCAATACTTCTTGTTGGGGGATTACTTCAGTTAATTTTTTTTTTCAAAAAATTCAACAGTTCTTAATCAGATTTTAAATTAAATCTGTTTACGTGAAATGAGATTTAAAAATCTTTACAGTTTCACAACAAAAGATTTTCCCTCACTTACAATTTCATGTGTTTTTAGTTTAAGAAAAGAAAGTGTTTGAGTTCTTTGTTGAATGTTGATTCAAAATGCAAGATATCACGGGGTAATTTCTGTCAGAGATTTGACAAGTTGACCCTAGAACGGTTATTTGTAAAATCGACCTTTTAAGTCTAAACCTCTTTGTCCTTGGGTTAATTGCTCAGCTACTGTATTTTGGATATCAGGACTCACATCTCAAAAAAGCAATAGACTGGGTAGACCCTAGCTCACATATTTGTGAACATTTTAATTGATAAAAGCTATTAAACTGAATCCATTTGATGCTTCACTTTTTACCTTACTTATCAATGTTATCATGCATCTTCATATGTCCCGGCCATGTGATCTAGACAGTTTTAAGCTATTTTGATACAATGAGTATCTCTCCATCAACTTAAACAAGAGGCCCATGGGCCTTATAGGTCACCTGAGCATTATGCAACAACTTTCCAGTGATTAAACTTGATTCATGTTTTAAGCCAGATGCTATGGCATTCACAATTTTGAAAGAGGCACCATTGATCATCATTACAATACACTTAGCAGTTGCTTAGTTTGTTTACTTAATACCCATACGCAGGGTGAGGGAACACAAAATGCATTTCAACTAATCAGTAATATTCAGCAATAATCAGTAGTGCCCCTACCATACATGAACCCCTGACCCTTTGGCCTTGTTATTTAATTAATACCAAGGAGCAGATTTCAAACCATTCATTCATTTTCAGTATATAAGTACAGCCCCCCCCCCCCCTCTATGGTACCCCTGACCCTGGGGCCTTGAAATTCACAATTCTGTAAGATATGGGCCCTTGTCTATCATAACTATATTCATCATAACTTTATTTGTAGTTCATCTGCTTAATACCCTGGAGCAGAGAAGAAAATTTTTAAAGATTTAATGTATTTTCACTATATAATCAATAGAGCCCCACCATAACACCAGAACCCCTGACCCTGGGGCTATAAAATTCACAATTATAGAAGAGGCATTCTTGCTCATCATAACTATGTACTTAGTTAGTTTATTTATTTCCTAGGAGCAAAGGAGAAGATTTTCAAAGAATTCATATATTTTCACTATATAATCAATACAGTCCCACCCTAACCCCTGACCCTGGGGCCATATAATTCATTATTATGGTAGAGGCACTCTTGCTCATCATAACTATGCACTTAGTAAGTTTATTTAATACCCAGGAGGAGAATTGAAGATTTTCAAAGAATTCATGTATTTTCACTATATAATCAATAGAGCCCCGCCCTAACACCAGAACCCCGACCCTGGGGCCAAAACATACACAATTATGGAAGAGGCATTCTTGCTCATCATAACTATACACTTAGTTAGCTTATTAAATACCCAGGATCAGAGAAGAAGATTTTCAAAGAATTCATGTATTTTCACTATATAATCTATAGAGCCCCCCCCCCCCCCCAACACCAGAACCCCTGACCCTGGGGCCAAAAAATACACAATTATGGAAGAGGCATTCTTGCTCATCATAACTATGTACTTAGTTAGTTTATTAAATACCCAGGAGCAGAGAAGAAGATTTTCAGAGAATTCACGTATTTTCACTATATAATCTATAGAGCCCCTCCCTAACACCAGAACCCCTGACCCTGGGGCCATAAAATTCACAATTTTGGTAGAGGCACTCTTGCTTATCATAACTATGTACTTAGTTAGTTTATTTGATACCCAGGGGCAGAGAAGAAGATTTTCAAAGAATTCATGTATTTTCACTATATAATCAATAGAGCCCCGCCCTAACACCAGAACCCCTGACCCTGGGGCCATAAAATTCACAATTTTGGTAGAGACACTCTTGCTCATTATAACTATGTACTTAGTTGATTTATTTAATACCCAGGAGCAGAGAAGAAGATTTTCAAAGAAATAATGCATTTTCACTACCTAATTATTTAGCCCCGCCCTAGCACTAGAACCCCGGACCCCAGGGCCATGAATTTCACAATTTTGGTAGAGGACTCATTGCTGATTACAATCATGCAAACAGTTTGACTGCTTGATGTCCAGGAGTAAAGAAGAAGATTTTTAAAGATTGCATTAATTTTAGTGGTTTTGGCCCCACCCCTCAGGCCCCAGGGGGGCAGGGATCATGAAATTCACAATTTTTGTTCCCCTTCACCCATAGATGCTTTATGCCAAATTTGGTTGAAATTGGTTCAGTGGTTGCAGAGAAGAGGCTGAAAATGTTCAAATGTTAACGCACAACGTCGCACGACGCACAACGCACGACGCACGACGACGGACGAAAACGGATAGCAATAGGTCACCTGAGTTTACTCAGGTGACCTAAAAATTAAACAAATCATGACAGATTGAGAAATTGTATACTATTTTCTCAAAACTTCTTCAGGCTTTTTTTTTAACATTCACAAGCTTACATCCTAATG